GGCTTTGACTGTCCTGCAAATTTGGGTCACCTTGCCAGCTCAAGGAAGTCATTACAGCAACATATAGGCATCTCTTCCTCACCTCTCTGTAAGGTGGAAGCATGGGGCAGCATCGTTTGCCTAAATGGAAGTCCTTTTCTTGTTTTTAGTGAAGTTCTCGTTTGCTGCAAGGTGGTAAAAGATGTGAACGCAAAGGCTACATGACTAGACACTTGTACTTTTTGCTTTCTCCTGCTTTGATGGGACCCTGCATGCAGTTTCTGGAGCTGTTGTGGTACAGCCACCCCTCCCCTAGCATTGCAACATGCTGTATGTTGAAGAGTTGCAGCATTTTTGTTGGCTGACTTGGGTGCAAGAAGCTCCTGGTTGAGCATGTTATTTAATGTAAACATGTTTATTTGCCAGGATCTTGGTTTTCTCACCATTTGGCAGCTTTTCAATTTCTCGCATGTTGGAGGATACGTTTGTATGTTAGTTCTAGAGTAATCTTCTCTGCCCACCATGGGAGTGAGAGTAAGGCTTGAAAAACATCTCTGCAGCAGAGTCCTTTCCCTGTCCTGTGGTTCTCTTTCCACTGGCAACTCTAAACAATGTCCAAAAACATTCATTTTTGGCAGACTAAGTTTCACAAATGTTATTTGGCCAGTGAAGAGTCACCCCCTGCCCCCTTTTTCATTTGACTAGTCAGATCCTTTTTGCAGTGCTTTCTGTTCTTTATTTCTTGCTGTGAGGAGGCTGTGGTCAGCTCTGTGGTAGGGTTGGCGATGCTCTTGCTGGCTGCAGTGGTGTTTGCAGTGGGGAACCCCAGCACGTGTTGCAGAACGGCTGTGGCCGAGTCATGCTTTTGGTTCCCTCTGGCTTCAGGAAGATGTGTTTACCTACCTTACTTCGGAAGAGGATTTACCTGAATCTGTGTGGTCCCACAATGTCCACACAAGGCCTGTGGGTTGAGGGGAGCACGGGGCTCAGCTCTCCTCCTCAAGGCTTGTTCTGAAACGCAGATGTCTGCAGCCAGTCCACAGCTGGACTTGCTGTGGCTGTGGAAAATAGTTAATGCTTGTTGAATCACCTGTGCTTTTGTCCTACAGGTGATGCTTTGTGTCTGTAGATCCTATTTGGTTATTTATTCTTTAAGTTTTATACTTAAGGAATATGTTTACATGGGCAATGGTGCAAAAATCCCTTTGTGTATATAAATATACACACGCACTGCACTTAACCTAGCAAACTATTTAAAAATCGCTTCCCCACAGAAATTCTGGCAATACTTCTGCATAAGCATTATTCAGCCTCGGATTGCTTGGGCTGAGCTGCTGAGCATGGCAGCCTGTAGCGCGTGCTGGCTGTGCCAGGAGTAACGAAGCTGCTCTGCTAGTGGGCAAGGGAAGACAGGACCAACTTCTTCCTGACAAACACTGGAGAACTTTGCTGTAAATGTCGTTGTGGACTTCACAGGTTCCCGTGCCTTCAGCAACAGCAGCAACTTTGGGGAATAATGGAGGTAGATTTTTTTTGTCAGAAGTTAATGTGAGGTGGGAACAGCAGAACGATACTCTTCAGCATAATCAACATCTATGTAATTGTCTCTTACAACTGCAGAAAACAACTCATTACATGGCCTGTTACTACAGGTTAATTTTCTCCTTTCAAGCTGAGTGCATTCAGAAACCTGCTCAGTGCTGTCCCAAAGGAGCTTTCATTTGCAATATTTGAATGAGGCTGCAAAGCTTGACCCACCGCCTAGGTGAGCAGCGATGTTTCTGGTGAGCCTTGCGCTGGTGTTCGCCCGCCTGAGCTTTGTGGACAATCTTCTGCCCTTTGCGGTGTCGTGTATGAGGCTGCAGGACCAACTTGGAAACAGCTTCTGAGGCCACAGTGAGGGTGGAGGAAGTTTTTGTTGAGGCATCGCATTGTGATCTGGATTTGGATTAATATATTAGGTGAATAGCTTTTCTCAACCCAGCTGATCTCCAGCCAGGAGAGGAGTGGTTGTCTCCTCGCTGGCTGTTGGTCTTCTCTGCTTGTCTGCTGTTCCTGCTGCTCTCCTGGGAGAGTGATGGAGCGAGGCTGGTGCTGTATGTTACTTGGAGGATTAAGAAGGATTCCTGAGCCGGCAAATACCGGCATCGAAGTGGTGACCTGCAGGAAGCCTGCTGAGTGCTGGCCTCTGAGCTCGAGTGTCCCACAGATTACTGCTTCTTGAACTTAATAAACCGTTGTCTTGAGCTGGGAGAAGGCGACAGCTCAGCTGCTGCTGTTGATCAGTCTTGCCACACATGTATCTGCAGAAACAAATTAAACTGTCATATTCTCAAAAGACTAGGCAGCAGGAACTGGGGATAAAAATGCCTCAGGCAGAAAATGAGCTTTATAGTGTTTGGCCAGCTTCAAATGAGGTGACAGATGCTTAATCAGCTTATTCGACATAAGTGTCTGTCTGTTGTCTTCCCTCCCCTTGCAGCAACGGGCAGCTGCCGGCGCCGAGGTGGCGTGGCGGAGTGGGAAGCCAAGGACCGCGGAGCCCTTTCTTCCCTGTGGGAACACTTGTGCATCCCCACAAGGCACGTTCGGGGTGCCGAGGCATCTAGGCGTTAAACTTAATTTTCTGTCAGTCCCCTTGGCTGATGGTGGTCAAAGCAGGGCAAGGGACCGTCTCCAGAGACGGAGGCAGGTACGTGTTTCATGACCCTGAGCTAGTGCAAAGGGGTTCCTGCTCTGCAACCAGAGTTTGGTTTGGAGGCCAGATCTGCCATAAAAGAGTGGAGGTTTTGTTATCTTTTCCACAGCTCAGCTGGGGAAGAATTAGTGTCTAATTTTTAGGGATACTATGGTTACAGTGAGATTAACTTCGCTTGGCAGGGCGGGAGAGAGGGATTCAGTAGCTACTGTGACAAACTTGCAAAGACCCACTGGTATTTGTGATCTGATTATTCCCTCCCTTCCCCCAGTCCCAATGTCCTACATTAAATAAGGACCTGAGTGAAGGAGGAAAAGCTGTACAGAAAATGCTTTCTGTATATTGGTGTTTTCTGACACCTTCACTTCTGTATTTTTAGGCAGCTGAGAAGTGACACCAGGTGTTTTGAGACCAAGGTGCGATTTCTTGCACATGGCTTTATCCAAAGCTGGCACAAGCTCAGGAGGAAGGAGGTGTTTGTAGCCTGGCTGCTTGTTGTTCGTCTTCAGCTCCTCGGTGATTGTTTCAAGTACTAGTTTTCAGACCTTTCATCTTCCCTGTGATAGATCAAGTTGATGCTGGCTCTGCTAGGCCAGTCGTGGATGTGGTATGTAACCAGCTGCCATCTTCCAGGTTTTGTCAACTTTGGGGTTGGCCTGAGGGCCGTTGGCTGCTGTCTCAGAGCAGCCAGGCAGCAGAACGTGGTTCCTTTGGGTTCTTGAATTGGGTATTTTTGCTGTATCTGAAATTTTCTGTTTGGGGCATTCATTTCTCTCTTAAACTGAAGTTCCTGGAAGAGGGTCTAGAGCCCAGCTCTGGTGCTGACTCATCCAGATCTCGCGTGCTGGGACATTGCAGAGCTGCTATTTCAGCTGAATTCCTCTGTCCAGCTGGTGTCCTGCGTGCTCCCACACACTTGCAAGAAAGCATGAGCCTCCGAGGAAGGCAAGCACCGCAGACAGAGCGGGTGTGCAGAGAAGTGCTGTAGGGCTGCTGTTAGCGCAGGAGCCCAAGTGCTCTGCTCTGGCAAAGGCAAACCCAGGCACGCTGGGTCAGCCGCAGACAGAGCGGGTGTGCGGAGAAGTGCTGTAGGGCCGCTGTTAGCGCGGGAGCCCAAGTGCTCTGCTCTGACAAAGGCAAACCCAGGCACGCTGGGTCAGAAGCAGTGCATGTGTGCTGCTGGCAATGTCACTTAGTTGTCTAAACTTTTTTGACCATCTGCCTCATAGCTAGGTGTCTGTGTGCAAAACCTGAGCTCGGCCTTCCTCTGGTAAAGGCAGCTGGAGGGCTGAAGGGAGGATCCCTAGGGTGCCTCTGGACCTCCTGTTGCTGCTGGGCTTTACTCCCACCTGGTATCAGGGTAGTGTGAATGGTACCTACCGGTGCGTGCAGAGAGGAACTGTTCTTTGGAACGCTTGTCCTTGCTGATGAAGGCTCCTCAAATCACCCTCTCTGAGCTGGTGCAGCGGCTGCTGGCTGGTGACCAGTGTGGGGGGGGTTAACTGAAGCCCCCCTTGGCCTTGGTACCAAGCTTCCACCTGATACAGCCTCAGTGTCTGCCCACGAGCATCCCACAAAGAACTGATTGGTGTTCAGAATGAAAGACAATAATCCATAATCTCCCACCTCTATACAAGCGTTTCCAGGTGTTGCTGTCTGCAGTGGCTTTTTTGTTGCTCTGTTGTACAGCTAGAACTAGAGCAAATGAATGGCCTTAAATTGTTTTCCTCTTGGCTAAAATTAGAATCAAGTGGAGCTGCTGCTTTGCTTTTTGCTCGAAGATGAGGTGGAGGAAAGACGTGCGGTGGAATGTTTTGGCCAGTGTGTGTTCCCACTCCCGTGCGCGGCTAGGATTTTGAGGGACTGGACTAGGCAGGGTTTGAAGTGGCAGCGCAATTTGTTGCGTGAAGCTAAATGTTGTATGCTTGACTCTTGTGTTAGGAGTGACCCGGGCTACTCCTGCACTGTTTTGATCCCATACTAGCCTGTGATTCTATACGCTTTGAGTTAACTTCTCCAGAATGAAAGAATATCTGATCTTCCAGACCAGCAGGGTCCTTAGGATTTGTAAGAACATGGCTATACTTAAAACAAAGCTTCTCAGTTTAAGGCCAGCATCCTCTTGCAGACATGAGGAAGCTTGGATTGTGCTGTTGCCGGAAAGGGGCGTGGGAGGGTTTTCTGCTCTGTTGTTGCACTTATGACTATGGTGAGTTGGCTGTTCAGTGTGCCTGCCTGCGGGGAGCCCCTCTCTGCGGGGAGCCCCTCTGGCTGCTCGCTGTCAAGCTCCCCATCGTCTTTGATGCCTGATGTCCTTATTCTTTTGTTTCCTTTAGACAATCATGGAGCAGTTCAATCCCAGCCTCAGGAATTTCATTTCTATGGGGAAGACCTATGAAAAAGCCTTAGCAAGTAAGTGAAACTGCGCTGCTGATGTGGGGGGTGTTTAAAGATGGGGAGTAGCAAGCCCTGTGAAGGGTAGCTGGGTGCAACTGGGCAACATTGCTTCAGAGACTGAAAACTGGCTTGGGATGCTTTTTTTTTCCCCTGGGAGAGTGAGGGGAGGAAACTTTGGAGAGAGTTCTTGGACCTCACATCATCAGATCACGTTGCAGCAACGTGCAGGGCACGTGGCCTGCCAGGGGTGCGTTGCTGGAGGAGCCACAGGGCAGATGCTCTGGAGAGCGCTGTGGAAAGGATTTGAGCGCTAGAATGTTGGGTGGCAACTGGGTGATAAATATATTGCCAATCGACAAAGTTTCTCTAAGTATTTCTTTAAGTATTTAAATCTTTAGAATTAAGACTTCCTTTTAAGTTCCATTTAAAGGATGTTCAGAGTGCCCAGAGCAATGAATGCATTGGAGAAAGAAAATCCTGAAAATACTGCAGCTGGCTCTTGGCTTGGAATATAGGATCGTACTGGAAGCCATTAGAGAAGTGTAGATTTAATTAATCAAAGAAAACTATGAATTGATGAAAATCAAAACTGGACTATTTTGACTTCAGATGACTTCCCATACTGCTTGGGCCCTGTTCAGCTTGGTTCTGCTTCACATGCTTTAAGGCAGGCTTTATTTGACTAGAGGCCTCTGCTTCCTTCAGAAAATTGCATCGCACATGTCTCTTGGATTTTATTTTTTTAATGGGTTCAGTGAAAATGCCTTTAAGGGAAGAGGCTGTCATAATCTTAAGCCAGTGGAAAATATTTTGATCTCCTGTTCTTAAATAATGGTGTTTGAAATATGACCTTTAGGAAGAATCTGTGTGTTCTTGTTTTGTGCCTGGAGCAAATTTTATTTCCACAAGTCAGATGAGGTTCCTCAATGTTTTCATGAAGTGTCTTTTAAGATGTGGTCTTCCTGCCTTTCTCAGGTACAGACATTCCCCTGTGCCAGCACATTTCTTTCTTGCTCGTTCTCAGTAATGCTTTTAAGCGGGTTTTAATGGGTCAACTTCCACTAGATGGGAGGTGCGTCCATCTGAATCCACTGCGCAGGGACTAAAGGCTCTGCTAGATCTCCCTGGCACTTAATAAACCTGTATATGCAGCAGTGTTTTCCAGCTATGTTAAATAATGCTAATGAACCTGGGGCTTGTGAGTTGGGTACTCTCTGGCTTCTTGATTTCCCTGCTTGTTCTCCAGGCGGCAGCAAAAGGTTAAGCTTTCCCTGGGGAGAAGAGGCAGAAGTTTGAACAAGGGGGAGAAAAGATTGCACTTGGGACTGAGTTTTTTTTATTCTTCTAAAATGTTATACTGATAATACATTTTTTTTAACAGACCAGATAGTGGAGCCTGTTTATAATGTGGCCATTTCATCTGCGTTTGAAGTTAGGCACCCTGTTACTTCACCATCCATTGTAGAAAACCAGTATGATGGTTTGATTTCTATTTTTCTCACATCTCTGCTCTTGCTGAATACACTCTGAAGCCCAAGATCTTCCTGTAGTTTTTAAAATTCTTTTGGTCAGCCTTTATTTTGGACTGTGGAGCTTGTGGAGGCATCTAAAGGAAGTGTCTTAATCAGTAAATCATGCTGGAAAAGACTTCAGCACATAATTTGATGCTGTTGAGCAAAAGCTGTACATGTCCTCTGGTTAGAGGAAACCCCCTGCTTATCTGATTAGAGTGAAGTGTGGAGCTGGAATGTCAACAAACAAGACTGAACTATAATGAAAGTCTGTGATATTCAATTATTTCACAGTGATTTTTCTGAGCAGTGTTAAGCAGGCTGTTCAGTTACATTGGAATGAGAACCACCTAGGTCTTGCGTGTACTTTTTCTCCTAAATAACTCTCTAATCTTGTTGCTCTAGGTCTCTTTTTAGTGTGTTCTTTCTTCACTAATTTTGCTTGTTTGTCTAGTCCCTCCCAGTAGGGTTGAGTCCTTTGAAGTAAGAACCTTTGTCTGGTTTGCATAGCGTCTAACGTTGGTTCAGTGCCATACAAGCTGTAATAGCCATCAAAGAGAACGTAACCTGCTTTTTTTATGCTTTTAGGTATGACATATGCAGCAAAAGGATACTTTGATGCTCTGGTTAAAATGGGAGAGTTGGCCAGCGAAAGCCAAGGCTCTAAAGAATTGGGTAAGTCATCAACTTACTGCTAAATGGAGTCACAGTTCAGAACGGGCTCTGAGCCACAGGAGTGCAGCCAGTGTTTGCTGTAGGCGTGGGTAACAAGCTGAATAAGGAGCTGATCCTGCCTAATATAAATGGTAGTAGAAGTATCTGTTTACTCTTAGTGTAGCATATAAAAAAATAATGTGCTGCTCTTAGTCTGAGGGGTTTGGGTGATGTTTGCAAAGGGGAAGTCAACCAAAAGGTGCTTTGCTGGGATTTTTTTCCTGCTTTACAAATGAGAAACGCACTTGCCTCTGGTCTGGAAGTCGAGGCAGTGTTGGCTGCCTCATTGGTTTTAGCCCTTTGAAAGAACAGGGTTAAGGAGGTAAGAGGAAGAGCTTTGGGGTATGTGCAGGTCGGATGTGTTGAAGTGGTGGTGGTTCTGGGGTGTGTGTGGTGGGAGCTGTTTGTGCTGGGCCCTGCTGAACGCAAGGGCTCTTGCTGGATGGCCTGGACGTTGTCTGCAGCTTCGCAGTACAGCGCGACTGGTGACTTGTATTTGTAGACAAGTAGACAGGAGTTACTGCAAAGGTATCATGAGTGCTGATGCCCTGTGAGTCCTCTCCCTTTTATCTATTCTTCAGGTAAATCAACCAGGGAACTGCTTTTCCAGCTTTCCTTTGACATGTTTCATGGTCCCTTCCCCCAAACTTCCCTCTTTCCTATCACTCTGCACAATGCTGTTCTGCTGGTAGCTCTTCTCCCAGCCTCCCCTCCAGGGATGCTCTGTGGCCTCTGCTACGAGTGCAGCTATCTCGGGTGTTTGTCTTGATGCAGCCTTTGGAATTGGAGGTAAGCTCCTCTTCCTCCTCCTCCTCTGCCTCGTTCACTGCTGATCTCGCTTGCCAGATTGCTGTGCCAGGAAATGGCAAGTAGGACTCTAATGGGATCTCTGAAGCAGTCAAATTATGAACAAGAATTTGAGCTGAAGTGATTCTTGAAGGCTTATAAAGCAATCCATAAATAACCCTTTCTTCAGTGAGGCCAGGTTTTGTGTTTGGAGTTTTCTGTTCAACATCAGACTCAACTTACTCCGAGCCTTAAACTGATGCCAGCTCTGGATCTGCCACGCACAACTCACTGGCTTAGTTTGAATTTTTATGGGGAACTATCAAATATCTATGGAAATCTGTTTTTATCACTTGGTTTAAAGCTGCCTGTAGTAATCTGTTTACTAAATGAGAGTCCCACATAAGTGGTGAATGTAGCAAGCAAAATTGTGAAAGCTGTGCAGATATTACCGTTTAAAGGATTCCACTTCTCCTGCTTATCAGGCTTTCACTACATCTTTGGGGGTGAAAGATGAAGCAGTGTTGCTGTCATACTGGAAGTGAAAGTTTGGAAAAGCTTTGTCAGTGGCAGCTCAGCTGTTGCAGAGCAAGAGCGTGGGGAATACACATCCTTCCCGTGACCTGACCCGCTGCTTCCCTTGCAAACAGCCGCAGCTCGAGCAAACACTTGAAACCTGGTGTGTCTTTTGGTGGTCATGCTTCCTAGTCTAGTCTAAGAAAGAGGTTTGAAAGCAGGCTTTATTGGTATATTCCTAGCAGTCTCCCAACATTCATTTGGTATGTGGCTTGAATATTGTTAGGTTAGCTTAAAATATTTCCAAATTACAGCATCTTCCGTTCTCAGTGTGAAGCTATGTGGCTAGCATTTATAGAAAAAGAAAATACGTGGCAGTCTTGTTCAGTCTAGACCTATAATAAATGGCTGCTCTTCAGACTCGTTGCTTTGTTGATCTTGCCGCAATTTATTGTGGCAGCTACTTAGTAGAATCCATGCGGAAGAAAATGAAGATTAAAACTGTGGCTGAAGCTTTAGAGCTGGTAACAGCTGATTTAAACCCCCTCCTGGCTTGACTTGAACAGGGGGACTTGAGCACAGGGCTTGGTGGAAGAAACGTTTTAGATTTGGGTTCCTGCACTGCCTCTGTGCTCGCTGAGCTAACCGAAGGTATGTCTTTTCCTTGGGAAACCTTTAACTTATCAGTTACCGTGATTGCTGATAGTGCAGGAAACGAGTGCTAGGGTCGGGCTTTCTGCTTTTCCGTCTGGGTTATTTCATCCCATACGAGGGGCTTTAGTAAACAGGGATGTTCGCAGCTTGCCTTAACGCTCTAGGCCTGAGCTGAACCCTCTGTCTGGGTGCAGATGATGGTTTCCTCTAACAACAGGAAAAGGAAAGCTGTTCTGAGACAAAGCAATGACTCCTGGATGTTCTTGTTGGGACTAACAGCTGCTGGCTGAATTCCCTTTCTAGCATCCAAGAAAAAGAATCCCAGAGATTTTTTCCTCCTTAACCCTTTCTCTTCTGAATGTAAGTCATCTTGCAATCCCCCTTCTGGCAGAGAAGGTGTCAAAAGAGCATGAGGAAACTGCAAATTCTCTTTCTAAAAGATTATGAGAGTTAATGTGAAAAAAGGCCCATCTCATGTCTGCGGGGCAGCGTCTGCCCCTTGTGCAGATGTGCCGGAGCTGGTTTTACACCCGCCGGTTCACAGGCTGCTCTCGGCACAGCCTGTTACACGGCGCTCGGGGCAGGTACGTGATGCCCCAAGGAGCTAGGTAAACCCTTCAAGGGGTTGGCCGGTGCGGGGAGTGCTCTTGTGGCTCTGTTTCTGTCAGTACTCAAAACTGGCCAGTTTGATTTCCAGCGTGTTGTCATCTCTTCAGTATTACTTATGACTCTAAGGAGATTGTTCTCTAATTAAGTTGAGCACTAGAAAACTGCCCATCTGCGATCTGTTCTTAGTTCTGTGCAAATGCGTGGAATGTCCCATGGCCTGAGACTGGCTGGCTTTTTTGTTTTTAAATAAATTCCTTTGATTGCAATGATGTTGTATGCTTAACTTGTTGAAAACGCTTATCAGCCTTCCTAATGCCTGCCAGACAGCTGCCTCCAAGTTCACTTCTCTGGTCAGCAGCTACTTAGCACTGTACATTGTTTGTAAATTCTCCATCAGATTTTAGCAGCTGTGTGTAGACAGGATAATCTTGTGTAGTAACAGAAAACAATAATAAAGTACTTGAGCTCTAATCGGCTCTAGCTTGAGTTTTTGGGTGGAAGCGTCTGGCTGGGATGTACCTGTCAGCCCCGCTGCGAAGGTTCGTGAGATTCTGAATCTCGTTTTTTTCAACTAAAGTGATGTTCTGCCTGGGTGCGAGGTGCAGCTTTCAGTTGTCCTTGCACGACCAAGCTTTGCCCAATGCACTTCCCTGTATTTTAGACCCCCTTTAATGCTTTCTATAACCTGGGAAAAATCTGAAATGTTTTGTGGCTTCTGTTTTTCCCTTCAAAGTGCTTGAAACGCTAGAAGAGTGAGTTTGTGCGTTCTCAGCTTTTAAATGTTGTGGCAGGGTGTTTGATCTGGACTGGGGAGACTTCTTGCTTGCCTCGCAGGCCCTTGCACTAAAGAGCTGCAGAGCGCTCTGCAGCAACGCTCCCCAGAGGTCCGCGCTGTTTCATGACCCAGTTGCATACTGGGTCATGCATTTACTTGGGATCCACATACCTTCACAGGAACAGAGACCGTTCCTGAACAGTGTGTGGAGGGTGCTGGCATCTTGATAAATTAAAAAATACTGAAGAGGATTCCTTAGAGAAGTCTCATGCAAGACAATTGCAGGAATACTGTGGTTCGTTGACCTTGTGGCGTAAGGTGTCCGACAGGAGTTGGCGTGCTGGGCAGCTTTGTGGCAGGGAGTTGCCTTTTTGCGTCAAGCAATGCTTTGTGTAGCTGTCATCCTGGAGAGCGTGCAGCCGGGAGGGCTGGGACTTGGCACGGTCCCTGCTCTGGGCTGAGGCAGTAGTAACGAAGTACAGCCTGTAAAAGAAAAGCCATTGCTAGCGCTGAGAAACGTGGCTATGTGCTGGAGGACAAGCCTGCTGAAGTTCAAGCGCTCAGCTGTCTTGGGCTGGATTTTTACATCTTGAGGATATAAAATTGTTCAAGTACCTGAGCTCCCATTGCCTCTGAAAACTTTCTGCTTCCTACTTGTCTGACTCCAGTCTATCATGATGCTTGTGGTCTGCCTCACTTCTCGTCAGCCTGCAAGCTAATTGAGAGCTGGCCCTCCCTGCTGGAGGAGCTCAGTGCCCGCAGCTGTGCTGCTGATGGTCCCATGCTCGGCAGCAGGGCAGTGCCTGTCTGCTGGCCCCCCGTGTCGTGGGGAAGGCAGGCAGGAATACCGCAGATCTCTCCTGGGAGCGGGTTGCTGTGCGAGTCTAGGAAGCAAAGTGAACGTAGGTGGCTGAGACTAGGTCGGCAGGAGAAGTGAAGACTGCTCCTCTTGGCGTTCCTGGGAACTGAATCACTCTGAAGGGATGGCATTAAAGCCTTTTTCCTGCCTTGTTCTTCTGGCCTGGCTGCTTTCCAGTTTCTGTTACCTAGGCAGAAGATTAGACCTATGCCCATAGTTCACATTCTCCTTTGAGAGTGATTCCTTACACTGTTCTTCAGATCTTCATAGTGGTTGCTGAGGTGTAGGGCTTTTGCTTTAAAAACTGGCTTTTTAGCTTCCCACAAGCCTAAATGTATGTCTGATCACTGAAGGGTTGCGCTGTGCTTCATCTGGGAACTCTTTGTAGAAGACTTTTGAAGAACTTGAGTCTAATTTGCACAAGTGTTTGGGTGTCTTTGACCCTATGTCCTCCAGCTGCCGGTAGAACTTAAGTGCTGAAGTCGCTCAGACACTACTCAGTGCTGCTTTTTTGCCCCTTTGGATGCTAGTTTAAAATTAGATCATGGCAAAGTCATAGGAAGGGTTTTTCTTTTTGAGGGAAGTACTTGCCCGGTGAATAGAATTGGTGACGGTTTTCTTCCTGGCTTAGCATGTGCTGGCATGTTGAGACTGTGACCAGACCTCGCAGGGCTAAAAAGCAAGAGCAGAGAACTCCTTTGGAGCTGGATTTTTGTTTTGGGGTTGGTCTTTTTCCGAGGTCCTCCTGGATCAGGCGAAGCT